ATTATTTCTGTCATTTCCGAGTAAGGGTCATATAATATTAAATTTCATCGAATCATTTATTTCATTGCTGGGGTCACCCAGGTTCGGCCAGCCGTACTTATAGTGCTTTAACGTAGACCCCAACAAAGGCTTGCAATGAAAGACACTTCAGAAACCACTCTCTTGAATATGTAGTTCCAAAACTCTCCTAAAGAAAAAAGAACAAAGAATAAATAACCTGAACGAACATATAAACGATCAAAAGACAAAGTATGAACAAACCTTCTTATGAATAAACTAATCTAACTTTACAGAATTTAACAGAATGAAGAACATCTCGTAATAACTACAAAATGTAAAACACATGGAACAAGCAAATAACCAAGTTAGAACACACCTTGACACTGTGGGTTCAAATGCGGGACTGACTAGGACGGACTATAACCTACAAATCTAACTTCCGCATTCCTAAACTGAAAACTAAAATTACAAAAAATACAAAATTACAAAAATACTAAATTCTAATTCCCTAACATCATTAAATAAATCTGAATTTCATTGTAATTTATAGATTGATAGACAGCATTATGTGCGAGCTTAGTCTCAGTTCGCTCTCATGTTATTGCTAAGTTGCAGAGTTTACAATTGATAATTTTTATTTATATGTAGAACAATTGATTTTATTTATTACAATTGATTTTATTTATATGTAGAAGCAGGCAGGGCCTTTGTGCACTGAAATTTTTGTCTATTCATGGCTTGTTTCTGGTGCGACATCAAGGTGCCCACACTGTTCGATAAGGGGCTATTTATTTATCTTCAATATTTCGGTTGAAATATTGACGAGTAATGCGTGATTGTAAAAACATTTTTATGTTTTTATATAGATCATTATATTTTATGTAGGAGATCAAGCAAAGGAGGAGACCATGCCTGGAAAAATATCACACCAGACAACACCTTGGTTAGAGTTGGTGACAACCACACCTGCATGGGGGCACCAACCACACCTGGGGGTACCAACCACACCTTGGGGCACCAACCACACCTGGGGGTACCAACCACACCTTGGCACCAACCACACCTGGGGGCACCAACCACACCTGGGGGCACCAACCACACCTGGGGGCACCAACCACACCTGGGGGTACCAACCACACACTTATGATCAGTACTTATCTTTTTCTGGACCTATTATCCGCAACAAAGATTAAAGAGGAATATATTCCAATAACCGTCCGTGTAATAATTTCAAAATTTACCTTACGATGAAAGTACATGTGCTGGAGAAAAAGCTGTACAACTGAGTACAGTTCCTTCAACAAAGCTGCCTCTGCAGTTTCACTTCAAGTATTAATATTATATGCAAAAAAATTGTTTCGAATGTCAACTAAGAGGGCGTTACCTCGAAAATCGGCAATTGAATCTGACGTCCAGTTGAAAATTCAACAAATTCATGGTTTCAACTTATATGATACTACTTACGGACAGTCGGAGGAGATGGAGGACAAGTAATTAGTAGGAATGATGTCCGTAGATCAAGGCCTGTTAATAATGTAGGAAGTAACCGCATACAACAAAGTGAAAGTGGACAAAAAGTTTTAAAATGTTTTTACACGAACTCGGATTCCGTTTTGAACAAGAAAAGTAAACTGTTAGCTGTGATCGCAAACGAGTGTATAGACATTATTTGTATTACAGAAACACTCCCTAAAAATCACGGGGGGAAAATTGTACCTGTTGAATTTCAGCTGCCAGATTTTGATTGTTTTCATAACATAAATGAAGAGCAGTGCAGTAGAGGTGTAGCTCTGTGGGTTAGAACCTCATTTGGGGCCCAGCAAGTTAAGTTATCTGCAGAGCATCAATCATCTATAGAATCAGTGTGGTGGGTGCGAACTTACTCTAAAAGGCAAAGATAGCCTTCTCATAGGGGTAATTTACAGATCACCTAACAGCTCCTCTGATAACAATAAAGTACTAAACAGCCTTTAACCGAGCATGTCATTCAGCAGGTCGCATACGTTGATCGTTGGTGACTTTAACCATCCAGAAATAGACTGGGCAGATGAATCTTCTCCAAGAGATGGGAATCACCCAGCATCCTTGTTCTTGGAGTCTGTGCGAGACTCATTTTTAATCCAGAACATCACCAAGCCAACCTATTTTAGGGGCAAACAGACCCCAAATATTCTAGATCTTGTGTTTACTAGTGAAGAATCAATGATAGATGAGCTTCGCCACGAGGCTCCGTTGGGCAAAAGCCACCACCAATCATTGTTTTTCAATATTAAGTGTTGTGCAGAAAAGACGCTTCGGAAGCGTGAACGTTTGAACTTTGCGAAAGGCGACTATGATAAACTCCGTGAAACAATGATTGCGGCGAATATTTCGGACTGTATTAAGGACATGAATGTGGCTGATTCATGATCGTTTCTCAAAGACACGGTTGTGTCTGCAGTTGATGCTTGTGCACCCAAGCTTACGCTTGGAGGAGTCAAAAAGTCCCAGTGGATGACCAGTGCAGTTAAGACTCAGCTAAAGACCAAGAAAGAAGCCTACAAGCGTTATTTACGAACTCGCAGCGAGTCTGATTATAACCTGTATGCCAGAGCTCGAAATCAAGCTAAAAAAGTTTGTCGCACTGCAG